GGATACTGAGAGTTCATAAACTGTAAAGTGCAGTGCGCTGGGCAGCAATTCTCAAAGAGCATTATATGCACTCCTGGTGCCACCCACCTGGCTTTAGACAGTGCCCAGATGAAATTTTTTTGCTTTTATTGGCTAAGAAAATGGGAAAAATTAAGACTGACCATTGAAATCTGTGATTATAGAAATATTATTTAGGGCGAGGCTAAATTACACAACACAATTTAAATGGAAAAAAAGTCAAGAGAAATTTGTAAAAATTAAGGAAACAGTAGTACAGTTGATATGAAAATATGACAAGAATTATAAAGGCCATAAAAACAATCAGCGTTTATTGGGTACTCACGCTATGCTGCTCGTCTCACATACATGAGCTCGTTTGATCCCCGTAACAGCCTTATGAGATAGCCCATTTTACAGATGAGGAAGTTGAGGCTTAGAGAGGTCAGTTATGCTGGCAGACATACAACCAGGATATGAATCCTGAGCCCTTGGACACTTGAGCCCAAGCACGTCTACTCTGTAACCTTCCTTTCATCGAAATGATGTAAGATCTTTCGAGAAACATGTATCGGGCACCTAACTAGGTACCAGGCTGCCAGGAGCACAGCAGTGAGCTCAGCCAGGCTGAGGACCAAAGACTTTTCCAGAATATTACCAGAGAAAGCATTCAAACACCATCAGCACTGGGTTCTGTTTACAATGCCATCCGTGTCTATTCTAAAGGAATATAAGCCCACCCTGCTTAAAAAAACCACTTATCAAAACATAGGCTGGAAAAGATAAAAGTGAAATGCTTCCCTTCCTACAGCCCATTCATCCCCAGACACACTTCACGGCTTAATCATTCCCCGCCAGCCCTGGTAGGTCTCCTCCAGGAACACGTAACAGGGTGCTGCCTTGGGCGGGGGGACCTGCACGATTGATTTAAGGGAGGCCTGGTGATTTGATTCTGGGCTCAGACACAGAAGCCTAGGCGATTGTCCAGGCTGATCTGGCGTGCCAGGGGGCGAACTTCAAGTATACAGATGACCTTCATTAAATGGAAGGATTAGGCTTGGCCAAGTATCAGCTGAGCCACTTGGAGCCTCATCTGGGAGTCGCAGGCGAAGGGAACTATACTCAACATCTCTGCCTGTCTTGCTCAACTATTCTACTACATTAGGGGCCCCCTCCAGGCACCCGGGGTCCTCTGAGTTTCTCTGTAGCACCTGCCATTTTTAATTAAATTGCCTGTTTACACATTCTCTTGGCCCCTTAGAGCACCAGGCCATGAGCTCTGGAGGGCGGGAGTGGTGTCTGATTCGCCTCCTGACCCTCTGCCGGATGCATTGCTGTGCATGCAGTAAGCACTCGTGAGCTATTTTCTGAATAAATGCATGAGTGCCCGCCAGAGCATATCTCTGTTGTCATAGAAGATACAGTGACCTGGAAAGTTCCTTTCCACAGGGTAACTTCTAGGCTGGTTGGATTTCAAGGGTGGGAAGAAAAGAGTTCTTAAGTCCGAATGAAGACTGCTATTGAAGTATACAGGAAAATCCTTCAATCCCAAGAGCAGGAGGCAGGTTCCTACTGACCCATCCATTGGAGGAAACCAAAGCCCACATTTTTATTAGTGGCAATTACTAATACTAAAACATATTCATTAACTGATTCATTCATTTTTTCATTGGAAAGGTGATACATTTAAATGCTTACTGGGCCAGGCAAGTACTATGTGAAAAGCAATAGGGAGTGGTAGGGATTGTGGCTAAAATAAAGTACATTCCTGGTCTAAGGGGGACAGCCACTACTCAACTCCAACCGATCATTGCCATGTGACTATGTGAGCCCAGGATGGCCCAATCTTCCAGTGTCTCAAAAGAAGCCAGAAATCTAGATCATTACATGAAATATCCTGATTTGAAAAAGCTCAGTAACTAATTTTTTATTTATATTACACTAGCTAAATATATCATATTCACAGAGAAAAAAGTTCCAGCTGGGACCTCTATTATACTGTGTTCCTCAAACCACTAGTTCGATGGGGCCAGAGGTTATATCTGTATTATTCGCCTCTGTGTCCTCAGTGCTACCAATGTGCTGGCACATAATAATTGCTCAATAAACATTTGTGGACTGAATCAATGAATGCTTCCTATGAATTGGGCATTGTGATGGGCAGTGGGATTCCTGGCTTGAACATAAAGTGAGTGCCTTGGGGGGACCTGCACGATTGATTTAAGGGAGGCCTGGTGATTTGATTCTGGACTCAAAGAGGAGGTTGAGAACCAAACAATACCAGAAAAGATTCTAAAACTGTAATCAAGGGATGGATGTCTATGCAGGTTACAGAACAGAGGTCCAAGGACAGGGGAATTCATGCCATTGGGATCCGAGCTGGGTCTTGAGGGAATTCTTGAGATTCATCCTGCAAAATAAGATGGTTCAACCTATATGTATTTATTATCTTGTAGTTTCTGTGGGTCAGGACTCTGGGCACACCTTAATGGGGTCCTCTGGCTTGAGATCTCTCATGAGAGAGACTCTGGGGCTGGGGTCTCATCCAAAGGCTTGTCTGGGGAAGGATCCGCTTCCAAGCTCATTTGGTTGTTCTCGGGATTCAGTTCCTGACCAGCTGTTGGCCAGAAGCCACCCTCAGTTCCTTGCCACGTGGTCCTTTCCATAGGGCAGCTACAGAGTAGCCAATTGTTTCACCAAAGACAGTAACAGAGAATCTGCTGGCAGGACAAAGTTACAATCGTACATAACATCATCACGGAAGTGACATCCCGTCCCCTTTGCCATACTCTGTTGGCTAGAAGCAAGTCACAGATCCCACCCACGCTCAGAGAGAGTGAGTGGTCCCAGGAGGTTATTAAGGAGTGTCTCAGACTATGTCCACCATAGTCCCCACAGATGAGAGGAGAAAGGACGTTCCGGGCAGAGGGAACAGCACAAACAAAAGCACCAAGGGGCGAAACAGTGTCATCCATCTGGCAAAATGCAACTAGTCCATCGTGAGTTAAGGACGGGTCACAGAGGGAGGCAGGAGATGAAACAAAGCCTTAAAAGCCAGACCTGGAGAAACGATGTCCCCTCAAGGTACATCGGAATCATCAGGCAAGATATCAGCCCCCCCGCCTGCTCCATGTCCTGAACTGAGGATCTGCAAGGTCGAGACGCTGACAAGCTGGGGAATGACGCTAGTAAGTTGCAAAACTCCCTCAGATGTCGCAGGAATACTTCAGGTAAAAGATGCACCCGGCCAGATCTTCGGAGGGTTTCGCTAGTCAAGCGGGTATCGGAAGCTGTGGACGGAAGCTCTTTGCGTCTCGTGTCTCCGAACCGCTGATGGCAGGTGCCGGATGTGATGTTTGAAGACGTGGGTCTTCTTAAGCCAAACCGAGGTCCAGAAGAAAAGGTCGACTGTTTTAGGATTCAACATAGAGAAGCTGGAACGCTTTGCACTGTTGGCGGGAATGGAAAATGGTGTGGCCATTGTGGAAAACATCGTGACAGCTCCTGAAAAAATTAAAAATAGAATTACTATCAGTATATGATCCAGCAATTTCTCTTTGGGTATATACACGAAAGAACTGAAATAAGGGTCTCAAAGAGATATTTGTACACCCATGTTCAAAGCAGCCTTGTTCACAGCAGACGAAAGGTGAAGCCACCCAAGTGTCCATCGATGGAGAAATGGAAAAACAGTGTGTGGCATACACCTACAATGGAATGTTATTCTGCCTTCAAAAAGAAGGAAGTTCAGACACATGCTACAGCATGGACGAGCATTAGAAACGTCAGGCTAAGCGACATAAGCCAATTGCAAAAAGACAAATACCGAATGACCCCACTTACACTAGGGCTCTAGAGCAGTCAGACTCACAGGGACAAGAAGTAGAAAGATGGCTGCCAGGGGCTGCGGGGAGGGGCGGATGAGAAGTTGTTTAACGCGTCTAGCGTCTCAGATTTGCACGACGAAGAGTTCTGGAGATTGATTGCACTACGGCGTAAATGTGCATAACACCATTGAACGGTACACCTAAAACGGTTCAGATGGGAAATTTGATGTTATGTGGATTTTACGACAATTTTTAAATTTTTTAGATGTTTTAGGATTGGTAGTCCTGTGCGCAAAGCTGTGTTTGCTGGCTGTCCATTCCAGCTGAGTACAGAAAAAGAACTAGATCCCATGCAGGATCTGGAATGGGTTAAAACCGGCAGGTTCCGCTCTCCAATGTGTCTTAGGCTACCAGGGACTTCCTGCCTGCAGCTGAGCAGAGCAGCCACCAGATGGCAGTGTGGGCTAATGAGACTAGTTGGCGGCATTTATTGTGCTGTTACTGCACCCCAAGCCCTGATCTTCAAGTTTGCCTTGACAGGCTCATCTCCAGTGAGGGAAACAAATATTTAATAATTCAGTACAATACAGTGTGTGACGTGCTGGAAGAACTTAAAAGGCTGGTGACTCAGTGGGTGGTAGGAGGCATCAAGGTGGGCTTCCTGGTGGAGAAACCAGGACTGAGTATTGAAATACAAGCCCTAGCAGGTTAGATGTAAGGTGAGACACAGGAAGACTATTTCATAACTAAACACCACCACTATCCATCATCTACTGAGCATCTATGACATGCCATGAACATCCTAAGCATTCTCTTCTTTCTTTAATTTAGCCTCCAAATCCCTGTGAGATAGGTCCTGCTATTATTCCTGTTTTGCTGATGAAGAAACTGACAACCCGAGAGGTTGTGCCATTTGCTGGCGGTCACACAGCTAATAAGTAGCAGAACCCAGATTTTAACCCAGATTCCACAGCCCAGTTCCTTGTACCATGACCATGTGTAATCTGCCCCAGAGACGGGAGAGAGAAAGGTGAGTTTGGGAAATGGCAAAGAGTTCGATGCCAGGTGGGGTTGTAGAGAGAGGAAACCGGCCAAAGCTAGATCGGACGGGCCGTGGATAGGAGCCCCCAGAGATTTGCATCATCTCACCAGAGCTCCTTTTGGCTTGGATTGCAGCGGAGGAGTCCCTGGCATGTGACAATCCAGGCTTGCCTGAAAACGGATACCAAATCCTGTACAAGCGACTCTACCTGCCGGGGGAGTCCCTCACCTTCATGTGCTACGAAGGCTTCGAGCTCATGGGCGAAGTGACCATTCGCTGCATCCTAGGACAGCCGTCCCACTGGAACGGTCCACTGCCTGTCTGTAAAGGTAAAGAAATCTGCTCTCCCCGCGGGGTCCAAGGAGCCGGAGATGTCAGGACTGGCTCACAGGGATTCTGCACTTGCTCTCAAAAACGGGGCTACTGCACTTCCTTGAGTCTAAGATGCCACCACCACTTTCTGTGCTACTGACAAAGAAAAAAATGACTGCCAGTTAAACTATGACGCTATGTCTTCTCCTCGCTTAGCGTTTTCATTTTTACTTACTAAAGGAGCTCTTTCGAGCTT